CAGGCCGCCTGAGCAGACATGGCGCCACGTGACGTGCCTTTGACGTCTTCCACACAGACCCCCCAACACCCATTCGTCCATGTCTGTTGTTGTTAACACGCAACGCAGTCTTGTGCCTTCTGTTGTCTCCCTCCCCCCCCCCAACACACACACACACACCACCACCACCACCACCACCTTGTTTCTCCTTGCACCGCCAACGCATGTGTGACTGACTGTCGCTGTTGTAATCGATTACACTGCACCTCAGAAGAGTTCCGCACACATGCACGTGTATGCGAGCTAGCGATCGACCGAAAATAGCATTTGTACACACGGTAATGGGAGAGGGGGAGGCCGAGCTAAATACATGAAGGGGGGGGGGGGGCAAGACGGCGAAAGTTGACACGTGTCGCCACGCGTTACAACAAGATCTCAACAACGTGGGGTGTGTGTGTGTGTGTTTGTGTGTGTGTGTGTGTGTGTGTGTGTGTGTGTGTGTGTGTGTGTGTGTGTGTGTGTGTGTGTGTGTGTGTGTGTGTGTGTGGGTGTGGGTGTGTGTGGGTGTGTGTGGGTGTGTGTGTGTGTGTGTGTGTGTGCGTCTGTTTCCTGTTGTGCTGGCGTCTATTTCCTGTTGTGCTGGTGTTGATTGCTGTTTGATTGTTGTTTGATTGCTGTTGGTTTGCTGTTGGTGTCGTTGTGTTGCTGTTGCTGTTGTTGCCCTGTTCACGGTGACAGCCCTGACGCGTGCCGCCACGTGGCAAACGCGTACCAGCACAAGAGCAATGCATAGAGCTCTCTGCAGTGCCATTCAAAGCAGAAAGAGGGGCGGGTGTGAGCAGCAGTTGGCGAGGGCGAGACGACAGTGGCAGTGTCAGTGACAGTGACGAGAAAGGCAACCCAGCCGCAGTGGCCTTCGCCCCACACATACAAAATCGAGCACATGCGCACACACATGCGCGCACATGTAGGGATGCTGTTCATGGATACCTGAGTTGTCTCTCGTCACAGATGACATAGAGCAGGAAGAGCGCTGGGAGATGATATACGTAGTCCATCTTGATGCGCATAAACACATGACAGCACTGTCGTGAGCAAGCCGTCCAAGAAACACATTGTGACAGCGTCGTAAAACACACACACACACACGCAAACACACACGCACACAAGGTCGTACTTGCACCAGACAAAACCAACCAAGACCTCTTCTGTCATCTGCACCTGGTATCTGCTGGAGGTGTGTTGCCTGGCGAGCCCAAAGTGGAGTGCACACGCATGCAATTCAGGGCGGAGGGCGAGCAGCGTCGACGGCAGCGCCATGAGCGCATACGCACGATGGGACACCGCCAGCCACCATGCGTCAGACAGGTCGAGAAACACGTCTGTGTGTGTGTGCACGTAAGAGTGTATAAATATTTGGACGGCGGGCAACTAAATTAGGACACATCATATTTCCCGGGGAGTGCATCAACAGACCGCAACCGCAATTGCCAGCAGCACAACGATTGCACCCCTCCACAATGCTACTCTCTGCCCATGCAGCAGCGTACCGTCGTAAAACGCTGCTGCAACGACGATGACGATGTACACGGCTTTGAATAGCGGGTACAACAGTACCGCCACGCCCAGTATACCTGCCCACGTCACATGCATGTGTTCACGTAAGCGTGGATAAGAGGTTGCAGCCCAGCGAACAGTACACACACACACACACACACACACACACACACGCACGCACAGAGCACGCACAGAGCACACACACACACACACACACAGCACACACACACACACACAGCTATGTGAAGGAACTGTATGAGTAAACCCACACGCACTTACTCTGGGCGAGACGTTGTGCTTGAGATGCCAGTGGTGCAAACGCCGCGGTTCCAATCCACAGCAGCGCGCACATGCACGCACCAGCGGTGACAACACCCTGGCAATCACATGCACGGCAGTATTTGAGTTGGTGAGATGAATACAACGACACAAAAAGCAAAGCCAAATCTTGCCACCAACAGAAAGAACCAACGGTGTGTGTTGACACACACAGAACTACAAGCAAGCGAACAAGCGAGCAAGAAGCGAGCAAGCAAACACAAAACCAAACAAACAAACAAACAAACAAACAAACACAAGCTCACACACGCTCACACACCGATTGCAGAAGAGCGGTGAAGCAGCCATTGAGAATGATGGACGCAACATGAAACGGAATAAGGGGCCACGTTTCCAACAATATGGCAGTCATGATGCAACACGCGGTGAGCCTGGCCAGCGCTGCTTCAAACAACGGCAGCCGAAGCGCGTGTGTCGTCAGCACGTCTGCAACGCTTGGCAGCGCGCCCATCAGCTGGCAGAAACAATGGAATTGCGTTGCCAACGTCGAACGTGAGAAGACCAAGAAACGCATGCAAGCAACAAAAAAACCATAACCACACCAACCAGACGTGGAGGCATGTGCGTGCGTGCGTGAGTGAGTGTGTGTGTTGGTGCGTGTGTGTATGTGTGTTTGGTTTTTGCTTTGTGCGTGCGTGCGTGCGTGCGTGCGTGTGTGTGTGCGTGTGTGTGTGTGTGTGTGTGTGTGTGTGTGTGTGTGTGTGTGTGTGTGTGTGTGTGTGTGTGTTTGCGCGCGTGTGTGTGTGTGTACCTGCATGGATGTTGTAGCGAGTGAAATTAATACGGCGCTCGCAGTTGAACATGGTGCTGATGTGAAGCAGAAGGGCTGACCCTTCATCACCACGTGGGGCAACAGCACCCCTGCCACCGACGCTAAAGATGTGAAAGATGCAGCACACGAACCAGGGTGAGGGCTTGAAACAACAGTAAAAGCAACAGCACGACACATCCACATAACACCACAAACATCATGCACACACACACATGACACACACACACACACGACAAACAAAAAGGCACAATCCGCCCCCTACACACATACACACACACACACCTGCAATGTGGACCAATGGGACACGTTTCCGGGCAGAGGACGGGAGGGAAGAGCGAAGGTGAAGCGGAAACAGAGCGGCCGCCACGGCCATCCAAACACGAACAACGTGTTTTGGCGATTGCAGCGCACACACCGACGCAAGAGCGCCACCCACCGCACACGCGTGCACAAGCAACACCGCAACGCGCCGATAGCGACTTCCGAAGAATGCAGTCGTGCTGACACCATCACCGCCACCACTGTCGCCTTCATTGGTGCTGGTTTCGCCAATTGGCACAACAACAACAACATCGTCTTTCGCGCCGTTGCCGCTTCCATGGCTTCCTCCAGCACCCTCACCCCATCCTCTCCCACCAGTCACAGCAGCAGCAGCAGCAGCAGCAGTCCTGGTAACGGCAATGCCGCCGCCGCTATTGCTGCTGTTGTTGCTGTTGTCACTGTTGCTGTTGGTGCTGTGTGTGGCAGTGTGACGGTCCATCAAGGGCCACAGGACAATGGCAGCTGTGAACTCCACAGCTTCCGGTCCCACAAGCACTCGCAGCCACCCCGTCTTCAGCACACGCCATGCCCTGTGAAAACCTTTACGCAGCCCACTCCTAGCGCCAGCCTTCGTGGCACCAAATGTTGTCGTTGTGGTGGAGGCAGAGGTGGCTGGGTCCGCAACATCTGGCCAAGCTGCTTCTGCTGCCGCCACACCCTGGTCGTCGTGTCTGCGTGCACCCTCGTGGCGTTGCAGCCATGTTGGAACGAGTAGAGAGTGAAGCGCGGCGTGGTGTGGGAGCATGGCATTGATAGACATCAGCTTCTCGCTGGACCTGCTGCTGCCACCATCACTACCATCATTGCCACCACTGCCGCCCATGAGTAGGTACGGAGCCACGACCAAGCTGACCACGGTGCAGTGCATGCAATGAATGGCAGCGGCAATGACGGCGCCACTCCCACTGCTGCTGGGGTCATAAGCGAGCAACGCTGCCTGCAGGCACGCGAACGCGGCGACCACCACCGGCTCCGGCGCTGTTGACGTTGATGCTGATGACGCGGACACAAGAGGGCCGAAAATGGTAAGAATGTTGGCAGCCGCGATGATGAGAGACAAGCGTGCTGACCACGCAAGATGTGCTGTTTCGGTTGCAGGCCCGCTGGTGTCGCTGTCGCCTCTGCGACCACCCTGTGCGCTCGTTCCAATGTAGACGAACAGCGTGAGCACAGCTACTGCCGTCACTGTGCGCGTTGTCTGCGCCACCATTCGCCTCCACGTCGCGGCTGCAGCATTCGGGGTGGCGGTAGGAAGGCGAGACGTCACTAGCAGTATTGTCACTGCGCACATGGCAACGCACACCAAAGCCGCCACTGAGAGCACGTGCAACGACCCTCCAATCGTGTCGTGCACGGTGCACACGGCACCAGCCGTCGTGTACAGCACCAGCGCCACTGCGGCGTTGTTCCCACCACCACCAGCACCACCACGGCCGCCAACAACAACGTTGATGCCGCGAGCGGCTGCTGCAGCAGGCACGCCAACACGCACGCACAGCGTTGCCATGGCAGCGGACGCACGTGCGCGAAACTTCCGCAGTGCTGTCTTGAAGGAGACGCGCACGCGTGTGACCCAGCGCCTTGCACCATGAATGGACGCCACGACCCGCGCGTACAAGGACGAGGGGTTCGCTGCTTCAATGTCGTGCCGGTCAAAAGGAAGCGACGGCCCGTCTGCCAGCATGCTCTTGTCATCAAAGAGGCCTGTCTTCACACTCGGCCCCTCAGCCTCGCCAGCACCATCATCACCATCACCGCCAGCACCTCTGTCGCCACCGCATCCTCCATCCCCACCACCGCCACCACTGGTTCGCCGTGTGCATGTGATAAGGGGCGGGACGACAACGAGCGCGAATGCAACAGCCCGGAGTGGATGCGTGATCACGTGGCACAGAAGCTGTGGCAGTGCCGTGCAGGCTGCTACGAGAAGCGCCGAAGTGCCCAGCCACCACCACCAGCGGATCAAGACGAGCAACGTCGGGGGATCACGCATGTGTAGGAGGCTGGCTGCCGTGTGTATGTGCTGTGCCGGAACAAGGGCCAGCATGCTTGCTGCCACGCACACGGTCCACAGCGCAAATAACGCGAGCGTTGCCGGCGCTGAGACAATCTGCGTGGTATCGAGGAGAGCGGTGACTGCAGCCACTGCCTCAAGCACAAAGTGGAAGGCAACATCCGCCCACACGATCCAGGCGCCTTCCAGATCACGCCCGTCATCGGTAAACACGGCACGGTGCTGCGACGGGGAGTTGTCAAACCGCTGGCGCCGCTGACCGTGGATGCGCATGCGTGCGTGGCTGCCACCCGAATCCTCACCACCAGCACTGTTGCTGCTGGTCTGCTGCCTTGCGTTGCGTCTGCGACGAGTGCCACCAGCTTTTCCTGTTGCTACTGCTGATGCTGATGGTGTTGCTGTTGCTGCTTTTGCTACTGTGACTGCTGCTGTTGTTGCTGCTGCTGCTCCTGTGAACGAATCGGCAGCATCATCGGCTTGCGTGTGGAGCGTGGCTGATGTGGTGTTGGTGCAGGCGAGGCGCTGCAAGAGGACGGACACGAGGGCAATCGTAAATGAAAACGAGATCAGCCCCGCCGGCTGTGCTGGCGCGGTTGCAGAAGGATGCTGATGGACGGCTGCACAGGCCGCGTTCAAGCCAAGAAACGCAAGCCATGTAAGCGGCGCCACTTGCAGGAGCTGCAACGGAGCAACGCCATAGCCTTGCTCGAGTTGAACGAGCAGCCTCGGCTGTTGCGCCACAATGGAGGTCAAGGCAAGGACGGCAGCGGCACTGGCTTGCGTCAGCCACGGCGCGGCGATGGAAGACGCACACGCGCTGTGCACCAGCAGCGCCAGCAGGGCGAGAATGGCATTGCATGTGCAAGGTCGCATGTAGGCCGGCCACCCAGATCTGGCTACAGCCACAGGGCCATGTGTCCCTGCTTGGCGCAGGAACTGCGGCACAGCAGCCAACCTTGTGCCGATGCACCACTGATCGAGATGTGCATGCAGGGTCACGCGCTCACCGCCCAGAGCACCAATGATCCCGTCCAGCAGCGGAACGCACAGCGCGATGCGAAATGCAGGGTGCTCACTCGCACAAGCAGCCAATGCACAAGTAGCCACGACAGCTGGCAAGTGTAAGAACAACCACGCCATTGCTGCGCCCTTGCGGTTGACGCTGCCGCAGGTCCGCTGGCCCACTCCTTCTGCTGCATCAGCGTTCACTTGCGCAGTGGGACCTCCATGCCGCTGCCGTTGCTGCTGTTGCTGCTGTTGCTGCTGTTGTGGTTGGTGTTGCCGTTGCGGGTGCTTGCGATTGTGTTGAAGTGACGAGGATGCCCCCGCATCACCACCATCACTGCCACCACGGGCTGCAATCTCTGCCCACGTCGCTCCATGTCGCTGGCTGTCAGCAGGTTGGTGGGACTGCGCCACAACAGGCAGCAGCGAGCCACCGCCCACAGCAGCGTTGTCCATCTTGGGTCGAACGCGACACCACAAAATACGCTGTGATGCGAATGCGCAAAGTCCACCCAAACCGTACACCCCACTGAACACCACAAAGCAAAGATCTCTTGCGTGTCCGCATTTGGCCCGGTGCTTGTTGGTTGCTTGCTCGCTTGCTTGGTGGTGCATGGATTGCGAACCACGGACACATGCGTGCGTGCGTGCGAGCGAGTAACAGATGTGTTGCAAGCAAGCAGGTTAGTGTCCAGTATTGTCGTCGTCATCATCCTTGACTCCCACCACACCATTCACAGCACCACCTCCAGCCAACTTGCAGACTTGCACACACCCAACCAGCCAACCGCACATTCATTCACTCTCTCACGCACCCGAGCACACAAACGACGACGTTCATTTTCACACGCACACACACACACACACACACACACGCACACGCACCCGAGCACACAAACGACGACGTTCATTCACTCACACACACGCACACACACACGCACACACACACGCACACACACACACGCACACACCCTTAAGCGCGCAGCCGACTTGAACGATGTTCCACGGTCCACGCCGATTGCTGCCCATCGGAGCAGCTATCGTCACCTGCATGCTGGTCGTGCTCACCGTCCACTCCGGCGCACCCACTCCAAGGCACAACGCGAACCTGGGCCTGTCTGCCCAGCCGCTTCCAACAGCTAGAGGCCAAACCCAAAAGCCCGGCGATGGAACTGTTGCTGTTGGGCGCATGCATGCAAAGGACTCCCGCGTGAATGACTTGGCTCCGCCCCGAAGGCGTGCTGCCCTCTTTGCACGTCCTCAAGACCAATCCATTGCCGCAGGCAACACCAACAGCAATGACGGCGGCCACAGCAACACCAGCAACACCAACACCAACACCAACACCAGCAATGACAGCGGCGTGGTGTTTCCACAACACCCGGCGATTGCTCGCGAGAGCAAGGCCGTCCACAATTTGTTGTACTCTGGCGGCGTCGCTTCATTCCCGCCGTTCCGCAGCTTGGCGGAGCCGCCGCTGTTCATCTCCCTCGTGCCCGACAACACAGCGCTGACGCACCTGTGCCTCAGCCACCTCTCTGCACCCGACATGCAGGAGTGCAACAGCGCAGATCCAGCACGGCATCAGGTGTTCGCGCTGTCCTCAGAGGGGCACGTGGGATTCGAGGTGCAGGGTGTCGGCCACTACTGCCTCCATGCCAGTGACGAGCGCATCTTTGCAAACAGCTTCGCCAGCCTGGCTGACACAGACGAGGATGACGACCACATCGACCCTAGCGTGCCACGCAAGGTCGTGTACCGGCTGTGCACGTCCATCTTCGCCAACGCGAAGGTGATGAAGGAAGGCTCCCTCTCCACAAAGGACGCGGTCGACACGTGGCAGTTCGTGCCCGGCAAGGGCCTCGTGCACCGCGAGACCGGCAACTGCCTCACATACAACTACCACACCAAGATCACGCTGGAGCCGTGCCGTGACATGGACAGCCAGTGGATGCTGCGCACAGACGTGAACGGGTCGCTCATCCTGCCACGCCAATGGGACAAGGAGCTCATTGCGCTGGCGGAGCGCAGAGAGAGGCAGATCAAGCCACTCCTGGCCACCGTGCGCACACTTGCATCAAAGACGCGCAAGCTCACACACCGCGCGCACTCCCGCGCATCAAAACGAACGCAGGGCGTTGATGGGAGGCGTGCAGTCGTCTTCTTCATGGAGCCAAGTCGCATGCTAACGCTGCAGGTGAAGTGGTGGCTGAGGGCGTGGCGCATGCTGAAGCTCGACGAGCCGGACCAGCGCATGGATGTGCTCATCATGGGCAACGGCGACGATTTCGAGTCCCTCATGTCCTTGGGCTGCGAGATGAAGAGCCTTGACACCCAAACCTCCATTCCCCACGCAGATGGACATGGTGTGTGCTGGCTGTTTCCCTTCCGTGGTATCAATTCCCGTGAGCCAGGCAAATACGACGCCTGGTTCAACAGGTGTGTGTGATTGCGTCGTGGTGGTGGTGGTGGTGGTGGTGTCGGTGGTGTGTGTGTGTGTGTGTGTGTGTGTGTGTGTGTGTGTGTGTGTGTGTGTGTGTGTGTGTGTGTGTGTGTGTCTCGTGTGTGTGCTTGTGTGTGTGTGTGTGTGTGTGTGTGTGTTTGTGTGTGTGTGTGTGTGTGTGTGTGTGTGTGTGTGTGTGTGTGTGTGTGTGTGTGTGTGTGGTTACGTGGTGGTGAGAGGTGTGTGTATGTTTGTGCCCGTGCGTAGACCATGGTGGTACCTGCTTTTGGTTTTGCATCCATGCACCCATCCACCCATGCATGCATGCACAACCATAGTCCTGGTGACTTGGAAATCACATGGGCATGTGTTGCTCGTCCCAGCTCCCCACATGTGCTGCACTGCACTCGCTTTCCTCTCACTTATCTTCTTGGCACGTGCCCTCTTCCCACTCCCTCCAATGCACACACAGCTTGGAAGTTCTTGTCAACAAGAAGACGCGGCCACTGCTGGAGCAGTATGATCAGCTCTTGCGCGCAGATGCCGACACGCTGCCCACACCCAAGATGCGCGGGTACTGGTCCGAGAAGCTGGTGCTCAGCCTCAACGCTGGCTACGCCACGCGCTATGCGGACGCCAAGCTGGCAACTCTAGCGGCAGATGCCGGCCTCGTGTGGCATGACCTGCGCAACATCGGGTCCACGTTCTATGGGCCAGCCAAGAGCGTGCTACACCTCGTGGAGCTTACAGTTGCCGTGGGCGCACTGCTGCGCACGTACACCTTTGCGCCAGGCACGGGCTGCAAGCTGCCGCCCAAGCTGCGGCCAGCGGACGTCGATTGCGAATGGGGCTCGGGCCTGTGGCTAGGCGTGTCGCTGCTGTACTCGCAGCAGATTGCGGCAAACCACATGATTGGCAGCGGGTTCCCTGTCAAGTTTGAGGCGGAGAAAAAGTTTGATGTTGGCACTGAGGGCGAGATTGACGTGTGCAGCGTGCTCATGTTGCATGTGTACCACAACCGCGAGCGCTTCTCAAAGCTAGCGCTCCTCGACGGCGAGTACAAGAACTTTGACATGTCCAGCCTGGATTTCCACGTGGCCCGTGACCTCATCACCTACTTTGCACTCACTGCAAACGACCAGGGCATGAACGGCGAAGTGGCATTGAGCCGCTCTGGCGATCCCAGCAAACTGTGTGGCTGACATGTGTGTATGTGTGATGTGCGTGTGACTTGTGTGTGCGTGTGTGTGTGACTTGTGTATGCGTGTGTGTGTGTGACTTGTGTGTGTGACTTGTGTGTGTGACTTGTATTTGTATGTGTGTGTGTATGCGTGACTTGTGTGTGTGTGTGTGCGTGTGTATGCGTGACTTTTGTGTGTGTGTGTGTGTGTGTGACGCGTGTGTGTGTGCGTGTGTGACGTGTATGTGATGTGTGTGTGTGTGTTTTACTTGTGGGTGCTGTATGCGACTGTGTTGACAGGGCTTGCGTACTTTACTTGAACTATGCTTTCATTCTGTTTCAATTGCTCAGCGAATAGCAGCATGGAGTAATGCCATGTCATGTACGAACACGAATCGATAGCAATCATTTACAACATCATCCTGCTTGCATGTGAACACATACATCAGGGGTTTATGCCACCAAACGTTTCTCGCAAGTGCTCGTAATACTTGGGTTCGTCCTCAAAGTCTGGGACCTCCCCGCGCTCGTGTGCGAGTTTGTTGATGCCTTGAATCGCCCGCGCCTCGCGAAGGAGGTGTTGGTCGATGGTGTTGCGGAACCGCTGCTTCATCAGGTCAAACAACACGCAGTCCGACCACAGGACCTTGCAGAAGAGCTCGCGCGTCTGCGGTGACAGCTCGACCTGGGAGCGGCCCGTCTTCTTGAGGTGCGGGTAGATGACGTCGTGGAGGGAGAGTTTGAGGTGTTCCTTTAGGATGGCCATGGACAGGTCCCACTCCTCGTAAAGCAGCACAAAGTCCAAGGAGTCGATAAACTTCTTTGCTGCGCTGTAAAAGGCCTCAGTCGGCTCTGGCTCGTACTCGTCCTGCAAGCCGAAGTCGAAGGCGTAGCCGATCAGGTGCCACTGCGGCATGAACCCGGGAATCTGCTCGCGCACGCTCTCCTTCGACAGCTGCTCCAGTGCAAACCTCATCCACTCGTCCGTCGCCGTGCCGGTCCAGTTGGTGAGCGTGCGGAACTCCTGGTTGCCGTAGAAGCGCACCGCCGAGATGAACCGCGAGATGGGATCGCGTGCGATGGTGAAGATGACTGGCTTCTCGGGACCCATGACGGGGAGCAGGGTGTTGCGCGTGACCTCCGTCCACCGCAGGTGGCTGATGACGCCCGTGAAGTTGAGCTTGTCGCGGCCACACAGCGAGTGCGTGAAGGAGCGCCAGTCGTGTGGGTAGCCAAACGCAAGTGAGCACGGCACGGCCGGCTTCATGCCCCGCTTCTCAATCGCGTACCCCAGCATGATAGAGATGCTCGACGAGCCTGTCTTGTGAGTCTTGATGAACACGAACTTGGGAATGTCGTGCAGCACAGGCTGCGAGGGCCGCATCAGGACAGGGGCCTGTGCTGTTGTCGAGGTCGAAGCCGTTGTCCGAGCGGTGGTCTCTGGCAGGGCGGTGGTCTCTGGCAGGGCGGCGCTGTTCCCGATGCACATGCTGCTCAGCAGCAGCGTCACCACCAACAGCACAAACGGCAACAGTGGCGATGGCCGCACCAAAGGTCGAGAATGCATCCTGGGAGGGATGTCGGGCGCTCAAGCAGCAACACTCACGAGGATGCCGGGTCCTGGCAGCACAGCAACAGTATAGGATGTGTGAGGGAGAGCTGTTGGAGTGTCGCCTGCACAACGCTTCTGTAACACACATTAGCACAAGAACAAAGGGCTCGCGGCGTGTCTCCACATGTCAGTGGACATGCACGCTCGCACACGCTCCACTTGCGTTCACATCACTTTCATTGTGTGGGGCGGGAACGAAGACACCAGTGTTCAGTGTTTGCTCATCATCATCGCGGTGCGGAACCACCAGCCACGCAGCGATGACGTCACACAATTCACACAATTATGCTGTTGAGGGAATGGGGCTTTTATGGGGTGCAAACAAACAGTGAGAAACAGGAGCACACACACGCACACAGACACACAGGCACACAGACACACACACACACACACACACACACACACACACACACACACACACACAGACTTACACGCACAGACACATACACATACACACACACAGTGGCGCGCGCGTTCACGTCAGTTATGAAAAGAAGGTGGACCACGGACATGTTTGTACAGTCGAAGATCTGGTCTGACAGGATGGCATAGACGCGCAAGCCTTGTTTCCCACAAGGCAACAACGGTGCTGCCACAAGGGCCTTGTCAATCCCACAAACCACCATCATCGTAATGGTCATCGCTACCGCGTGGATGGTCATCCGGTAGGTCCTCTGCTCAAACCATCACACAAGGGCACGCAGCCACAGCCAGTGGCACACAGTTGAGGAGACAGCGCAAATTATAAAATGCAAGGCACAAGTTGGAAGCAGCCAACCACTTGATATGGGTTGGAATTGAACAATTTCATGGTCGGGAAGGGCCAGCGAACAGTGACCACACAAGAGCGCTTGACATGTGAGCCAAGTTCACCCCACTCACCATCAAACGGCAGCGGCACAGAGCGTCCGCCGTTGTATCGATCCTCATCCTCCTCGTCAATGAACAAATCGCCTTCATCGTTCTCATCGTAGTTGACATCTGCACAGACAGGTGGCAACCAAGGGCCAAACGCGAGGACACACACACACACACACACACACACACACACACACACACACACACACACACACACACACACACACACGCATGCACACACACACATACACACACACACATACACACACATACACGCACACACATGTGAGATGGGTCTGATCAACAAACATGGCTTGCAGCCCGCACAAGCCAACACAGGGCATCGAACAACTCAACAGGCAGGCAGTACGCGCACCGTCAATGTCTTGCACGTTCTGGTATCGCAGGAAGTCATCATCGTGCATCTCCTCGTCGTAGTACAGCTCACCCTCCGGAAGCGGCTGCATGCAAGCAAACAAGTGACGAGGAGAGAACCGATGAGTATGTCATGTCGCGGGTGTTGATGCAAGGACTCGCGTGGTCAACAGGTCAACAAGGGCAAATACAGGAGGCTTCTTCTTCAATGTGCTTTGGTGTATGATGTGTGCATGCAGGCTTGGAGGCTTGTCGACACGTGCGCGTGTGCTGCGTGCGTTCTGACCTCATCACCAGTGCCGAACACGGCCTCAATCCAGCCTGCATTGTGGACCTGGAACTGCCGCATGCGGATCTCCGATGCCCACGACTCATCGCACTCCGCAACAATGTCAAGTGCACTGCACACACAGCAGTTATGGAGGTTGTGTGTGCGTGTGAGGGCGTGAGCGAATGTCTGTACGTGTGTCTGTGTGTCTGTGTGTGCATCAGCCAGTTAGTCACTCACTCAGTTCACTCAGTCAAAGACCCCCTTGTCAGTGACACACACACACGCACACAAGCACGCACATGTCCATACCTATTGCAGACTTTGCGGATGATGTCATTCTGGTCATGCATGAGATCGAGAAGGTAGAGGACAGCCTGCGGTTCCGAGAGCACAACAGCGCGCGTGCTGGAATAGTACAGCAATTTGTTCCACACATATACAATCTGCACGCCGGCGTGAACACATGTGATGGGAGGGTGAATCACACGAGATAGGGGTGCGGATGCAGCCGCCTCGAGAAACACAACAACGACGACACTTATCGCCCCATCAGCCAACTTGCACAGCACACGTGCACACTGAGAGCACGAGCGAGCAGTAACCATTGGGTTTTGCGCGTGCACACCTGCAGCACAATCTCATCATCCTCCTGCTTGTCCTTGAGCATGCCCACGAGTTGTGATGCAATGCCGCACTCGGCAACCTGTGGCGCACACGCTGGATCCGTCAGGATGGTGCCAACCTTCACCGCATGACAGTCCGTTGTGTCAAATGGTGTGAGTAGGTGAAAGTGCATGCGCGTGAGTGTACATACGTGCTTCTGAATGGCGCGAACGCACAACCTGATCATCAACACAGACATGCGCGCGCATACACGCACGTTTACACGCACACGCACGCATATACGTACGTTTACACACACACGCGCACGCACGTTCACACACACGCACGCACGCACGTTTACACACACGCACGCACGTTTAAACACACGCACGCACGCACGTTTACACACACCCACGTCCACATCCACAAACACCTGCACACGAACCTCTCCCCCTCCCATGTCTGACCATGATGACGGCTTCGAGAAACAGGTCGTCCTCTGCTGCTCCGGGCGTAAGCAGCCGCTGCAGCAGCGGCAACAGCGTGTACTCCTCAACCAGCTGCAGGTAGTCAAACTGAACATGCACGCGTGTATGCAGAGATGAGAAGCGCGCGAGAGGGGGCAAGTGCGAGAATTCGAAGAACTTCGGGAAGCACTTCGAACTTTAAGCCAAGTACACACACGTACATACACCACACGCACATGCATACATGCAAAGAAGACAAGCAAACAACCAGTGCCGATGGCAACTCACGTCTGGGATGTCGAGGGAGTTGAGGATACCCAGCAGCTCAACAAGCATGTCCGGGTCGTCTGCGCTCTCGTGCACGTGCTGCGCCAGCGGGTCGATAAAGTCCAGCAGCCGATCCTGTTGTCGTGCGTTGCAGGGAGGGGTGACAAGGTGGTAGTGGGTGGTGGTGGTGGTGGTAGTGGGAGGTGGTGGAGCATGAGTGAGGGAATCGGAGTGGGTGCAGTCGCGAGCAAAGGTGCTGTCACGTGTGAAGTGACGAGGAGGCAAGCCTTGATGGGCACCTTGGAGTGTGGGTGCGAGCAGAGGTTTCGCACGAGCTTCAGCAGGAGCGGGTCCTTTGTCTTCAGCGCTCCTAAAACCGCAAACAACCAACAGCAGGTAGTGCAGCAGATGCCAAAGCAACACAATCGAGGTGGATGTCAGCACTTCTGCTGACACAACAAGAGGTACAAACAGGGTCGCAGACAGAACGTAGACAGAGACGCAGGCATGGAGATAAAGATGCAGACATGGATTGTTTCACAAATACGCAAACACAAACACATTTCACACACACACAAACAAAGATATAGGCAGACACGGATTGTCTCACACATACAACACACACACACACACACACACACACACACACACACACACAAACACGCATGCACACACACGCAAACGCACGTTTCAAGAGGAGGGCGAGCCCCTTTCCATCGGACATGAGCGCCGCGCACTTCTGGTCCTTGGCGAGGTTGATGGCCAGACTCACAGGCTCCAGTTCAACATTGTCCTCAGGACACGTCAGCATCAGCCGCATCACCTGCCAACATGTAAGCACACGGGCGCCGACAGCGTGTGTGTTGAGCATGTGCAAGCAATGGCAGCCTGCCTATTCATCGCTTAACCAACACCATCGCCCCGCACATAAGCAGAAAGCTCATCACTGCAGCCACCACAGCATTCACGTTCACCGAACACCGCACACTTTTGGTACAGGTCGAGCGCCACACTCCTCTCTGACATCACGCCAGCACCTTTGCCTTCTCCCCTTCCTTCCTTCCGTCTCCTCACGTCGTCCCACCGTCACTGACAATGATCGCAAACGCACCACGGGGATGACTTCTGTGCCGGCGAAGAGCGGCTTGTGTTTGTCGTCCATGGAGATGTGGTAGAGGACAATGATGATGGAGGCGAGGTTGGGTTGCTGTGGACAGCATCACACACACGCACACAGCATCACACACACACACACACACAGCATCACACACGCACACACGCAACACGTATAGGGGTACCCGAAGCAGCAAAAGTGTGTGCACCAAGCATTCAGTGAGTTGAGGAACGAGACAAACAAAATCACATGAACGAGTCAACGGCAAGTGTCAAATCCGCAACTGCCAGCTGCAAACATCACCGCTCTCGTTCCTCTTCTCGCCACCACCATCTCCTCAATCACCCGCCACCACTGCACAACAGGCAATGAGCGTACGTCTTCTTGTTGCAGCAGGCCTGACAGCTTGGGCAGCAGGCCCACCTCCACCATGCGTGCCCGGAGACGCATGTCGAAGCTGAGGTTCACAAGCAGTCGCAGCGTCACCGTCTCCAGCGTCGCGTTCTCATGGGGAATCAGTCGCACGAGTTTTGGCACAACTTCAAGCTCAGCCATCTGTTGTGTTGTGTTGTGTTGTGTTGTGTTGTGTTGTGTTGTGTTGTGTTGTGTTGTGTTGTGTTGTGTTGTGTTGCGCATGTGTTTGTGAGTTGCACCTTGTGAGTGCAGGTTGGGTGGTCTGTATCGCCCCCCCGCCCCGCTTCTGTGTACATTGTCGTATCGCAGCAGCACCGCCAGCGCAACAAAGCGGCAGTCCCAGGGGGCCGACCCACCTTGTCCTTGTTTTCCTTGTGAATGCTGAGGCGCTTCAGAAACGTGACCATGAGCACGAGAAATTCGTGGTTGTGGCGATCGAGCATGTGCACCAGCCGCTCAACAATGCCCTTCTTCACCATCTGCACGTGTGTATGTGTGGGTATGCATGCATGTATGTGTGTGTGTGTATGTATGCATGTATGTATGTGCGTGTGCGTGTGCATGCGTGTTGGGCGACAGTGGGTGATTGGGGTGGTTATGAGCCATCATGCTGCAAAGTAAGGATTGGCATCAGCATAAGTGCACCGCCAACAATGCACACGGCACGAACACATGTGCGCACCTTTTGTTCGGTGTCCTGATTCTCAGCCAGGTTGAGGAGGAGATGGAAGGCAACGTACAACAGTTGTTCCTGCGAAACGTGGCGCGATGATGTTAAAGGTGAGAGATGAAGGGGATGCAGATGGGCACAACATGTCTTGTTGCGTGTATGTGCATGTGCTGTGAGAGCTGAAAGAGTGAGGAAGGAGAGAGCACCACACATGCGCACTCGAGAAAGCTGCTGCTTCAACTCGACACTGCGGTACCTGTTTGAACTTATTCTCTGCTATCTTGTCCGCATACTTGTCATAGTCCTGTCCACAGCAGTGGGCACGAAGAACGGTGTTGCGTGCAGGTGTGTGTATGTGTGTGTGTAAGTGTGTGAAGACCGACAAAAGGACTGACCACAAACACATAAACAAAATATGCGTGCATACATGAGTGCTTGGCATGTGCGCATCGCCATACATCAACGTTCTCTGAACACACGCACACACATACACGCACACACCTCCTGTGTCATCTTTTCTGCCTTGACTCTCTTCATCCGCTTTGCGAGATCGCTCCTCCACAGCGCTTCCCGCTTTATCTCCTGGGGATGAGTGTGGTGAGTGGTAGTTGTGGCGAGTGATGAGTGGTGGTGAGTGGTGAGTGGTGGTTGTGGTGAGTGTTGAGTGTGAATGGCGGGTACATGTGGCCCATAGCGACGTGTGAAAACTGCGCACTCGTTCACAACACAGACAGTTTCATGCAACACTCTTGCAGCAGGTGGTTTGGTCGGCTTACGTGTTCAACAACGCGCAGGCACGTCGCACCAATCTTGTAGCTTGAAATAATCTCATGAAACTGCGAAAAGCTGCACACACACACGCGCGCGCACACACACACACACATACACACACCATGTGAAATGCAGGAACAAAATGACAGGAAGGCGTGTCATCAGTCAAGCGCGGGTGCAAGCGGACAGCAGCGGTGTTGTGTCAATTTGATGTGAACACGAAAACACAACACATGCTCGCAAACGCATGCTTGCAAGCACATACATACACGCTCACATACCCACACACACACACACACACAACACATACAAACACGCCCCCACACACACACACACACACACACACACACACACACACACACACACACACACACACACACACACACACACACACACACACACACACACACACACACACACACACACGGACAGACCTGCTGAAGAAGTAGAAGACGGTGAGCAAGTTTGTCTGCAGCTCTGGGTTGCGCATACCCTCTTCGCGGATGATGCGTGAGAGCGCCTGCATAAACGCCTCATTCTGCACAAGTTCTTCCAGGTTGTCTGGGTTGCGCGCAAGCTGATTTGTGTGGGGGGGAGGGGGGTAGGAAAAGGGGTAGATGGGAGGAAAAGTGGAAGGGGGAGTGTTGATGAGAGGGGAAGGGAGGACAGGCAGAGGCATGATAAACATTGACACAGAGGTAGAAGGGAAGCGAGAGATGAGATTTGGGAAACAGCTCCGTGACATCTCAAATGATTCCACCTCCGACCCACACAAACACGCACACACACATTCACGCACACACACAAACACGCACACACACATTCACGCACACACACATTCACATTCACACACATTCACACACACACACACGCACACACACACGTGCTGCGACGGACCTGCAAGATGTACTTTGAGCCCATGAGCTTCTGCTGCCCGTCATCGTAGAGCCGTTCGAGGTAGTCGTCCACATCTCGCAAGGATGCCTTGATGTCTGTCGCCAAAAGATCAGCACGCAAGCACAAAGAAAGGATGTCCTCACTGATTTGGCACAGACACGCATACAAACACACGCGCTCACATACAGACATGTAAATGCAAACACACAAACACAGACACACACACAGACACACACAGGCACACACACACACACACACATACAAACAAACAAACGAACAAAGGCGCTGCACGAACCGGCACTGCCGTCTTCAAGCATGTGTCGCTGTGCGCGCGCCATTGTTGCCTCCCTGTCGAGTTCATCTGCACATCAACGATAGCACGTGGAACAGATGTGGTCAGTAGATGTTTGCCAGTCACGTTTGCCCACAAGCAGAGCAGTGTTAGCGTGCGTGCTGGTAGTGCGCCATGGAACATACAACAGCGCACGGCACCACGCCTGCGTACCTTTGCTCTTCCCTTCGTTGCGCTGCTGCAAATACAACAGCAGCTGTTCCAGCTGCAGCCTCTGGTCCGGTCGAATGTACTTCACACCACAACCCAAGCGAGCGAGCGTGTGTGTGTGTTGTGAGCAGAGGGAAAGCGTGGGAGTGAATGCGAATGTATGGGGGATGAAAAGAGAGGATAACACCACGCAGAGACAAGCAATGCGCCACTGCACTCCCAGCGTTGATTCGAGCGGTGCTTACAGAGCATTTGTGCATAATCTGCTCTGCCAGCGCCGGAATCTTCGAGGAGTTGGACAGGGCTGGAATGCGGATGCTGTGTGTGCGTGTGTGCATGTGTGTGTGTTTGTCAATAGTTGTGAGAAGGTGCACACATGCATGGGTGACAGGAACAGCACACAACACACACACACACACACACACGAAAGCACAGACACAAGCACACACACAAGCACAGACACACTCTCTCACACAAAAACGCACGCTCACACACAAGCACAGACACACTCTCTCACACAAAAGCACAGACACAAGCACAGACACAAGCACACACACTCTCTCTCACACAAAAGCACAGACACAAGCACAGACACAAGCACACACACACACACACGCTCACACAAACACATACACACACACGACATTCACGCATCGTACATCTTCTGGCATGTGTTGACATCGCCAACAATCTCCCGCTGGTCCTCGCCAATGATGCTGGCATCAATCTGGGCCCGTGCGTGATCAGGTTGACAGCGGCTGTGAGGACCCATCCATCGCACTGCAATGTATGCAGGCCACCACACAGGTACACCATAACAAAGACACCCACACCGCAGAAAGACGGACGCAGATACGCCCAGCAAAGAACGTCGACCCATCCCAAACACACACACATGCACATGCACGCACCTCGTAGTACACGACGATGGCACTGTCAGTGGGATGCACGTCCAAGCCAATCGTGTTGACTTTGCTGTTGTGGACCAGTGATAACAATGTGTTTGTGCTTGTATGTTAGCAAGAACGATGCACACAGACGCACAGAGCACACACGCACGCACACACGCACACACAGACATGCACACACAGACGCACACACACACGCACACGCACACCCTTGCCTACCGCATCACATAACGCGGTTGGTCCACCATGGTGGTCGCCGTTTCAATCAAGCAAGCAAAGTCGTTTTGCTGGTTTGTTTGTGTTTTCAATTTATGGTGTCGATTATGTTTCCAGCGGCAGAGCAGCTCCAACAGCTTTGTGTCTCGCATCTCTGTCACATCACACACACACACACGCACACATACACACACATACACACATGCACACATACACATCATACACACACGCACACACATTAGGCGCGCGCACAAACACAAAACGTCATTCATTGACGGCGCTGCTGCTGCTGCTGCTGCTGCTGCTGTGAGGCCGAAAGAGGCGGTTGTTGGAGGAGGACGGATTGCGTGAGGCGACGAACACATTCCAGTGCAGGCTGCAGCCGCTGGGCCATCCTGGCATCCCTGCCACTGGGGCCGCCGCTACCCAGCCCCTCCTGGCCCACATGCGACAGTGTGCGCTGCAGGAACGGAACAACCGTATCGTCCACCACCAAGTCCTCCTCTTCCTCCTCATCTTCATCTTCCGTCACCTGTTCCTCTTTCTTCACCACGCCTTTGCCCATGGCAGCAGCACCCGCCACACCAGACACCACATTCCCATCAGCCGATGCTGCTGCTGCTGCAGTGAATGGCGTTGCGGTTGGTGGTACTGCTGCTGGAGTGGACGGTGCGGGTGGTGGTGGCGACGCGAGTGCTGTCGTACTTGCAGTTGTGCTTGTTGCCGCATGGCTCGGCCGCACGTGTGCTTCCTCGGTCACGGCCGGTGGCTCGGGTTCTACAACCTCCTCTGCCTTGATAGGTGCATGTGCTGGCTCCTCGCGCTCTCTGGTAACGGGCTCCTCAAAGTCCATTATCGGCTCTGTCTTCACGCGTTGCTTCAGCTCTCGTCGAAGTTGCCGCCTTGCCCGCTTCTCCGCCCGTTCTCTTTCTCTTCGCGCCCTTCTGTCCTCTCTGCTCTCTTGCCTGTCTTTCCCTTCCTTCTTTTTCTTTTTCTTCTTCTTTTTCTTCTTCTCCTTCTCCTTCTTTTCCTTCTTCTCTTTCTTCCCCCTCTTGTCTCGTTGCTTCGTCTCCCCAGCACCCGCCTCCTCCGCGCCCTGTGCGCTCGCCTCTCGCCCGTCCACGGCTGCTTCCTCCTTCACTGCCAGCGGCGCGTGCATCTTGAGCATCGCAAACACGTTCCCTGTGCCACTGGGCAAGCTGCCACGGCCACCGCCAGAACCCATCACGCCACCTGCTTCCTCCTCTGTCCCGCCTTTCCTCTCTGCTGCTCGTGCCTCCTTTGGGTCTGTCTTCTTCTCTTCAGACGTTGGCTCGCCAGCATCGGCACGTTGCCGTCGCTGCTGCTGTTGCTTCTGCTGCTGTTGCTGCTGCTGCTGCTGCTTCCACAAACGTGTCGATCGCCGAAGCCCTTGTTGTTCTTCGTCGTCCTGCTCACCGGCGTGTCCTGGTGTGGTTGTGTGTGCGAGCGTGTGGTTGTGTGTGCGAGCGTGTGGTTGTGTGTGCGAGCGTGTGGTTGTGTGAGCATTGCATGTGCATGGACATTGGCGTCAGGGCAGCACCAGCACTAGTTCCGCACTGTTCCTCTCAGCGACACCAAGACTACAACAAAGGCCCAGCCACCACCATGACCACCACCAGCCCTGCCATCCCTTATCAGGCCATACGTTGTCGTTGCGTTGCCGATCGCAGAGACTGCCGACGCCTTGCAGCTGCAGCCGCTTTGTCACTACCGTCATCCTCAGACTCATCCTCACCACCATCACTGCCAACGTCCATGTCGTCGTCATCATAGTCCTCATCGCTTTCGCTGCTCCCCACCAGCTTGCTTTTGCCCTGTTGGCCCAACGCCACCGCTGCCGTCTTGGCTCGCTTTGCAACTGGCATCACCTCCTCATCCTCATCCTCCTCATCCTCATCGTTATCAACATCACTATCAACACCACGGGCTTCCTCCTCCTCCTCCACATCCTCATCCTCCTCCTCATCATCATCATCACCTTCGCTGGCCATTGATGATGGCGAGAACACCTCCTTCACGGGGCTCTCTCCTGCCACACCGCTGCTGCCTGTGCTCGTCTGCGATTTCGTCCGCCCGTTCCGTCCGTTCTCGGACCGCCGACTCCGCCGCGAATGCGCTGAGGGCGGGATGGTTGCGTGCGTGTGTGTGTGTGTGTGTGTGTGTGTGTGTGTGTGTGTACGTGTGTGTGTGTGTACGTGTGTGTGTGTGTTTTAGGTCATGTGTGTGGCGTGATGAAGTAAGGGACAAATTATAGGCGGAAGTATGAGATAGTGAGGGGGAGAGAGGCAAGTTCCACGAACCACAGTGGCATCACCCCCTTGCATGCATCAGTCCGTACATCGTGATCGGTGAGCCCGCGCCCGCCGCGGTGTGTTGCTCTTCCGCTGCTCCTCTTCAAGCACTTCCACCGTCGGACAGAGCAGGAACTCATCTGCAACGCCGTCCGCGCCGTATATGTATGGGGCGGTGCAGGTTGGAGGTGACATGTACGCACGTGAGCATGGAGGTGCTGGCATACTTCAGCTGGAGAAGATGCAATTCCTCTCACTCAAACACCAACAACACCAACAACAGTAACAACACACACATACATGCACATGCACACACACATACATGCACACACACACATGCACAAACATTATGCCCACGCGTGCACACACAAACATCATCATTCTCACATTTCTGCATGGGGCGAAGATGGTCGTTCTTGTCCAAATACATACTCGACACGAGCTACGGTGTGCACGCACGTGCATGCGTGTGTGCGTGCGTGTGTGTGTGTGTGATATTTGGGCGCGACGAAGAAACATCCAATGCTAGGGGCGATGTTCGCACAGGCGTCCAAAGGAAGCGTGGCAGAAGACAGCGAGCAAACAGACAGAGAGCACAAACCTGGCGTTGCCCTCGCTCCTTCAGTGTGGCTCGAGGCACCACCTTTCTCTTCAACTCGCACCTGCATGCAACCAATGCACACACATACACACACACACACACACAGCGTCAGATGAGACCCCACACGCAACCACAATCACATGGACGCAGGCTTCGGCACGCTCTCATGCACGTTCGCACACTCACACAACATCGTTCATACACAGCACAGGCGCAAACACAATGCAGGAGAACAAGTTTGCGACATCACTCACGCTGCTCGGCAGCAGTGCAGTGGGATTTCATCATAGACGTTGCTGTATGAGGGAGCACACGCACACGCACACGCACACACACACACACACACACACATCCAGCAAAACAGAGATGGGCGGCAGTGAGCTTCAAGGACACACACACACACACAAATGCAAAGACACACACGTGCATCAGCACTCAGACAGGTGCAGTTGCGCTTGTGGGGTCTGATACCCTTTGATCATGTGGTGGGCTGGCGGACGAGCTGTGTGTGCGTGTGTGTGCGTGATTGTGTGTGCGTGTGTGTGCGCGTGACGACGACGACGACGAAGACCAATGGCAGACAAAGGCAATGATGAAAGGAAAGCGTGAAGTGAGACGCACAATAAAAGGTCTGTCTGACGCGTGGCAAGCAAGCCAATAGCAACACTACCAACTCGTTTGCGCATGTAATGCATGTCGACTTACGTCCAGTTGCCTCTTCCAGCTCCTCGGGTCGAAAGTACCAGCGAACCTGGGGTTTGTTCAAGCCGCACGAGAGCAAAACACCTCTCATGAGCAGAAAGGCAGCAGGCTGTGCACGCGGCAGCATGTACGTCGTCACAGCTACCACATCACTGCACAAGAGCAAGAAGCACGCACACACCTCTGCGTATGGCATGCGATTCTTCTTGCAATACCACATGCTGTGAATCTCGGCCAGGGCCTCATCGGCCAGTAAATCCTACGCAACCAGCACAGGTATCATGCAGACAAACGGGTCGGGCACAAAGGGGTGGCTATCACGGTGAGTATCCCGCACACGCACACAAACACACAAACATGCACAAACGCACACAAACACGCACACGCAAGTACGCACATACGCAAGTACGCACCCACGCACATACGCACAAGTATGCACCGCACTCCACAGTCCACCATTCACCACGCACGTTGTTCGATGCTGCTGTTGGCACTCCAAGGCCTTCTTCTTGAAACGGAATCAGCGTCACTTCCTGCAGTGACAACGGGAAGGGAGCAAAGGAGAACCCATTGTTGATAGTTCCAAAGCGTCACTGGCGAGCTATGTGTGCGGGAGCTGCCATGCCTTTCCCCAACAACGCCAACGCCCGATCCCACCGAAGTTTGCCGCCACTGCTCACGCGCGCTCGCACAAGCTCAAATAAGCTCTCACACTCACACGTACACAAGGCGTGTGAGACGCACCCCAACACGAAGCCGCGGGCCTCCCGGCAGAGCAGCGGTTGCATAGTACAGATGTCCGTTCTCTTTCTGCAAGCCATGCAGCGGGCATGCAGTGTGAGTTGTTTCATGCAACGCGCACGCTGACGTGAAACGTGCATTTGATTTGTGGTGTCTTGACTGTGGTGTGTACGAGGTGCGGACATGGCGACAGCTGGCAACCCACTTTTCGCAGGGGTCCAAAAGCCACGTCCTCGAGGGCAATCTCCTCCGTCTCGCGAGATGCTGGTGTGGGGCACTGGAGGCACCGGGCCTTCTTCCCCGTCATCACCACAGAAGCCAAGCAACGTGTGCAGCGAAGGTGTGCAGTGAGAAGGGTGTTGTCTCTTCTTCCGCTGCCGGTCGAAAATTGGTAAAAGATTTCGCAACTATTCCGTAACAGCAAGAGTGTGGGGATCCACACACACACACACACACACACACACACACACACACACACACACACACACACACACACACACACACACACACACACACACACACACACACACACACACACACACACACACACACACACACACACACACACACACACACACACACACACACACACACACACACACACACACACACACACACACACACACACACACACACACACACACACACACACTATGGCGATGGACTGCTAAGGGAAGGAAAAGAGGGGGGACCAGCTACTGCTGGCTGGAGAATGAACAAGCAAGGAGAAGGCGGCGAAGGAAACAACAACAATGCAACAGTCACTCGGGCGGACACCAGCAAAGCAACACAGACAACAACCAGCAGTGGCTGAGGTGAAACCCAGCGGTGTCGGTGCAATTGGTAGTGGTGGCCTAGAAGAGCACGCTACCGCTACGTGGGCGGGAGAGCTCAAGGAGACTGCCAGAGCGCGACCTGCCGCCGCCAAGCGTCTCAAGCCTCATGCTCTCCCGGCTCAGGATGCTGCCGGCTTGCAACGGATCAAACGCGTGTAACCAGCGCCCAACCTCCAGCCGCGATTTCTACGTGTGTGCGCATGTGTGCATGTGTGCACGTGCGTGTGTGCGTTTGTGTGCATGTGCGTGTGTGTGTTTGCCTCGTGAGGACACGTGACAACTGACGAGCAGGCAGGCAGGCAGGCAGGCAGGCAGGCCAACGCATAAAGCAGCCAAACACAGAAGCAATCAAGTCCGTAAGGAACGCCAGAAAAACAACCATGGAGAGCGCACGGTTGCGTACCGCTTTGGCGTGGATGGCAAAGTTTGGTGTGCAGAGCGAGAATGTGTTGGGGTTGCCAAGCATCACGGCCTGTCACAGTGCAAACGATTGACCAATGACGTGAAACGAGTGCAGTGAGGTCGGGTGTAGACGAAGAAGGCGATGTGCAACGACAACATAACACAACACACAACACAACACACAACACAACACACAACACAACACAACAGGAGCAGCAGGATGTGCACACCTGTTCGTGGGAGTACTGGATGGTGAGTTGCTTAAGGCGCCAGATGTCGCGAATCACAGGGTCCTTCTCAGAGTGGGAGATGAGAACATATGGCCGGCAAATCTGCACATAGTGCCGCTCCCACACTGCATAATCGCATGCATGCATGCACACACAGAAGGAAAACATGAGCGTTGAAATCGACAGCACAACATGACAGCGGTCAAGGAAACACCACAAGAAGAACAGAGAGCGTGCGTGTGCGTGCGTGCGTGCGTGTGTGTGTGTGTGTGTGTGTGTGTGTGTGTGTGTGTGTGTGTGTGTGTGTGTGTGTGTGTGTGTGTGTGTGTGTGTGTGCGTGCGTGTGTGTGTGTGTGTGTGTGCGTGCGTGTGTGTGTGTGTGTGTGTGTGTGTGTGTGTGTGTGTGTGTGTGTGCAGGGCTCACCGTGGCCCTGGCTCGGGTTAGCGCCTGGCCGCTGAAACTCCAGCATGCCGCGCTTTGTGCATGCGGCGGAAAACGTGATCTTCTTCACGTCTGGATAGTACTGCACAGACTCTGGCACCGGCGTCGTGTCCTGATTCATTGATGGGGCAGGACACAAACCGTGTCGGTGTTTCGGGGACGGGAAACAGGGACGGTGAGGAGGATGGGGATGGTGTGCAAGCGGCACCGTGTCCACGAAAGAAGGGCTCACGCACATGGAGGACACTAGCTGCGCAAGGACCAATCGCCAACACAACAAACACGAGCAAGAATAAACAAGAAAGGGCAAGAAAAACAAGAAAGGCAAGAACAACGAGCTCGTCACCACGCACGTGCTGCGCAGGCGTTTCCGCTGAAGGGGCGTTGGATTCCAGGCGTTGCACCAGGTCCTCGGACTGCCACATGTCGAGCACGCGCCGGGCAAGTGCCTGCAGGCATGGCAACGGTCCCAACGAACACAGCATGCAGATGTGTCAGCAAACACACACACACACACACAGTGAACAAATAGACAAATACAAACCACGGTGAACAAACGGACAAGACACATGCGCACACAGGCGACACACAGAGTCATGGGGTACCGTCTGCTGCTTGGTGCGGTTGTCCGGGTCGACGGAGGGCGTGGGCACGCGTGCAACCTCCTCCAGCAGAGCAAGATCTTGCTTCACACATTCAAACTGAGGAAGTTTGGGGAGACAGGGAGGTGTGACGGAGAGCGTGGAGTTGAGTCGAACGAAGAAGGCTTATCATCAGGTGCACACTGGAACAAGTTCACACACGCACGCACACACACACACACACACACACACACACACGCACACACACACACACACACAACAGAGACATGAGCATGCGCCCCAACCTCGGCCATCTTGAGGTGCTTTGCAACATGGTCCTGGTGCTCCAGAATGAGGGACGACGAGCGAGGGCGCCACGCCCCCAAATTCTCTTCGCCGCGCACGTATTTGCGCATCGAGTCCTGGCTGGCTGCAGGCGCCTCCTCCGCGTTTTGCTGCCAAGCAAACGAACAAACGCACACAACACATCATCAACGACACACATGCACAGACAGTGAGGCACGATCAGGGAAAAGGACTGAACCATGTGGTAAAAACAGGCAGGCACTCTGTGTGTGCATGTGTGTGCGCGCGCATATGTGTGTGCGGTAGGGCGTACCGGAACCATGGTAACTTGGAACGCAGACACTTCCTTGTGGCAGTCAGGGATGTTTCCACGCAAGAACCTGTGTCATGATGGCGTTGAAGTTAGGCGCATGAATGCAACAAACTCCTCACCCACACACAACAACAACACACACACATACACACACACACGCACACAATCGCAAGGACTCTGTCGAAATCACAATCACACGCACACACGCACGGACGCACGATCACAGTCACTGACCGGGCGAACATGCCCTCTGACTGGCGCTCCTTGTGCACGCGAACAGAGAGATCCTGGCGGAACGTGGCCGGCTGATCATACCCGTCCAGCTGCAGGGAACACACACGCACACACACGCACGCACGCACACGCACGCACACACACACACACAGCTCGTAGTTGTGAGGACATGAGCGCAACGAGAGACCCAACTTGAAAACAAAGTGCAGGCGTCAAAGCAGTGGCGCGGATCGAAAGACACACACTCGAATAATCAGAGAAGCAATGGAAACAGGCACAGGCAGAGTACACGCGCGCACACACACACATGCAAGCACAAACATGCACGCCATAGACACGCAAGAAGATGCCATGTGGGCCAGCCGACCAGCATGGTGACGGTGAGGGTGAGGAAGACGCGTTTCCGTGCGGGAGTGAGGCGGTCAAGCAGCATGCTCTCGTGACGAGAGCTGTCCCAGCCAGCCTCAATCGTGAACCTGTGCACACCATGATGAACAAAGACACCGCCGCACACGTCGTGGTTGTGAGTCATCAGGCGCGTGCAAGACACACGTGGGTACTGCAGACACATGTTGACGTGACGAAGCAGAGTCATACACACACACACACACACACACACACGCACGCACACACAAACACACACACACACAAGCCAAGCAAGCGCTGCTGGCAAACGCACGAGTTGCCCCGTGGATTGCGCTCCGTGGAGATGACATTCAGCTTCACAGATGGATGGTTCTCCGGAACCGTGTTCTTGCCCTCGCGCACTGCCCCAACCGACATGTCAAGCAGGCTTTCCCAGGCCAGGCTGCCTGTGTTGCACATGTACAGGGTGACACGAATGCGGCGGTGCAGGCCCTGTGCCAGGCAGAAGATGCCTTCGTCCACGTGCGGTTTCCCTTCTCTGCGCACGGGCACAGCCGTGTATGCGCCCTCGGGGTCAAGCTCGCACACCTCCGTGTTGAACAACACGTCCGCAGACAGATAGTCCGCTGACACACAGAAAAAGAAAAACGCGGGTGAGGGAATGTGTGAGTGTGCATGTTTGTTTTGCTCTGTGTGCGTGTGCGTGTGCGTGTGCGTGTGCATGTTTGTTTTGCTCTGTGTGCGTGTGCGTGTGCGTGTGCGTGTGCGTGTGCGTGTGGGAACATGAACGACAGCCACCGCTGGTGCAGGTGGTGTCCTCAAGTGCCGCTGACGCGTGCAAGTCTTGGAGCCGCTGTCACCATTGTGGTACCTGGGTCGACGTCGGTTGTGCCAAACGGGGACGAGGACGACGCGCCCTGGTTCAGGTTGCGGAGCTGCAGCGGGATGCAGGAAGGAACAAAACAGCAAGAGCAAGACAGGCAGGAGTTGGGGGTAAGCATGGTCAGAGGCGCGTACCAGTGGTGGACAACTGAGACACGCACGCGGAAACGCATGCATATGAGCACACACGCACACACATGCACACACATGCACACACATGCACACACATGCACACACATGCACACACATGCACACACGCAGCCACAAAACCAAGCAAACAAGCAAACAAAGCAAAACGCACAATAACCAAAACACAAGCATTCACACTCGCCGCAGAGCCAGCCACGTACGTCATCGTCAAAGGTGTCTTCAAAGAGGGAGGTGTCGTGCGTGTCCTTCTGGTGCGGGCTCTCTGCGCGCCCATCAAACAGACTGTCGTTGTGCAGCGAGTGCTTGCTTGTGTGGCCAAGTGCCTCAAAGCGAAGGCGCCCACGCTTCACAAACTCAATAAAGCCCTCCGTCACCTGCCGCCGTGCACGTATGAGTTGAACTAGCAATGGCTGTACACGCGCGCATACAAGCAGGAAAGAAGCAATGCATATACACATTTTGCATCACACAAACGCACATACATCACATACATACACACACATACAAACTCGTACATCGCCACATACACGTTCGCAACAGCAAAGGACATGGTATCATCGCACCTCTGTGCAGAGCTGCTGCGCGTGGTAGTAGTTGAGCGGACCGCCCGTGTTGGTCTGCGGCTCTGTGGAGAAGGACGCATAGCTCTCTTGGTGCCCATACCTGGCAACGGATGATGGATCGACGCAGGTGTTGGGGATGAGAGTGCACAATCAGCAAACAACTGGTGTGCCGCACGAATCACAAGCATCATTTCACACAATCACAGAGGCACACACACACACACACATGTGCACACATGCATATGTGCACACAAACTCACACACATGCACACAGCTACACGCGCAGACAAACACGCACACACACACAGGTGTGCGCAATGTGGCGCGCGGAATTGCACTCGGGGCAACGCACTGGAATCCAAAATGGATGAAGACGTCGCAAAAGCGCTTGTCAATTCCTTTGACGTTGAGCAGCGTCACCACAAACCGCAGCTTCTGGCCCAGGCGCTGTCGAAGAAACTCGTCTGACAGGAATAGGGGGGGGGGCAACAAGGTGGTAGACGTGGTGGTGGGATAAGTGTGTTTCATGCTGGAATATAACGCGGTGCGAGGGAGGCTGTGCATGCAATGCTACCAAACACATTGGAGTGAATTCTTGGACCGCGAGACACTGTGCAGCACAATGCGCTAAGACACCCGTGAAGCCCCGCACCGTTCAGTTCGAAGTCCTCGTCTTCGTCGTCGTCCCCATCGCCATCAGCGTCGTCGTCGCTGAGCTGCTGCTTCGTCTTGGAGGCGAGCGGGTCCAGATCACCGGACGCTGGAGCGGCGTCCGTGCTTTCCTCATCCAGACAAATCAGGTCGTCCACCAGCGAAGACGTCCCGCCAGCATCGCTGCGGCCACTCGCTGCCTTAGCGCTGTCTGCGCTTGCAGTCTTGGCTGCTGCTCCCCCCGATGCCGCACACAGCGCGGGGGCGAGCGCGCCGCACACCGTGTCGTCCTGTCCGCGACAGCAACAGTTGGTGTCATGGTCAGCAAGCGAGGGAGTGAGCAGTGGCAGTGCTTGTGTAGCAGGGGGGGGGGGCAGCCACGGTGTGCATGTGTGTATACATATGTGTGTATGCGTATGTACACACATGTATGCATGTGTGTGTTTGTATGCATGTGTGTATGTGTGTGTTTGTATGCATGTGTGTATGTGTGTGTTTGTATGCATGTGTGCGTGTACAAACGTACACACGTGTATGCATGTGTATGTGCTCATGCACGGTTAGCTCAACTATCTCACCGCTGCCTCGTCGAGGTCATCCTGCATCTCAAGAATGTCGTACCAGTTGACGTCCAAATTCCTGTCGCCACCACCAGCCACGCAAGCAAACAGCGATGAAATGAGCAGCGATGAAATGAGTTGGATGCGAGCCAAAAAAAGAGGTTCACGTTGCAAGTGCTTGGTGTGTGTGTGTGTGTGTGTGTGTTTGTGTCTGAGGCTGGAGTTGAATTTGCTTGTTTGTGTATCTTCTTCGTTCATACGTTTCTTGGAAGCCGGACTCTGAGTCCTGGTTGTCGAGGTCCTTGATCAGTTGTCCTGATGGGTGGACAGGACGAGGGTGTGCGACAACTGGGTTCAGTCACACGCCATTCGCACGATGGCGGCAAGAGCAGGGCAACTCCAAAGATGGGCAAGCCAACAGGAGCAGCATGCAAGCTTACAAGCATTCACAAGCAGTGGAAACCCCCACGCAAACACGCACACAGACACACCCACACACACAAACGAGCTCGCACCTGGCTGGATCATGACGCGCATGTGTCCGACAACATTGCCGTCATTGTTCACGAGCGTCACCTGTGTCACAAGGTGCAGTTTTGGACGACCATTGATCAACAAGACACTGACACCACAGAAGCGAAGGAAGAGCAAGCAATGCACAAGCTTGTAGCATCACGCACACAAAGTACGACATGTACAAACACACACACACACACACACACACGCAAACGCATGCACGCGCGCACGCAAAAGAATGCTCACGTCATGCTCGATGGGGACGTTGAAGAGAAGATTCTTGAGCGACACGAAACCGCGGCCCACCGTAATGAACCAGGGCACCTTTGACGGGAACGGATCTGGCACCACACACGCGCACACACACGCGCACACGCACACACACACACACACACACACACACACACACACACACACACACACACACACACACACACACACACACACACACACACACACACACACACACACACACACAAAGGGGAGTGGTAAGGTTGATGTGTGCACATCACACACAACATGTGGACTGCCTCACAAGCAAAGAAAGGACAGCAAGTCACCCGCAACACCCGTCCATCCACGAGACCATCCCCTCAACTCCACCCCAGCTCCACCCATCATGCCATGCACCCGCACCACTGATGGCTGTTGGCGGCGCCTGGCCAATGGCGGAGTGGTAGAAGTCCTGCATCTGGAACAACGTCTCCCGGAATCGCCCAAAGGACCACAGGTCCAGCCGCTCGCCCGTCTCGCGGTCAGTCACCTGTGGTGGTGGCAGTGGTTGTCAGGGGTGGGGAGAGGCATTGTGAAAAGCGATGTGTGAATGGAGTGCGGACATAGGTAGAAGAGCGTACACGCGAAAAACGCATGTGATACGAAAGCAAGGGTCACACAGAGCCGCCACACTCAGACACACGACAGCTGCAGACGCACACACACACACACACACACACACACACACACAGAGGAACGCAACACATGCGGACGCACACACACACACACACATACACACACACGCACGCAGACACAGACACACAGACACACACAACACACACCTCGATCATGAGGGTGGCGTCCTTTGAGTCGCCGGGCATAAACTCTGTGCGGCGGGTGAGAGCAAACTGGAACTGGGCAGATTTGTTGAGCTCCACGCTGTAGATGTTGGCTTCCTTGAGCAGCGACGCCGCGCCAATGAGCTCGTCGCTCAGGCTGCGGCCCTGGTATTGCCGCCACTTGCTGAACGCCCACCACACAGCGCGCTGCTGTTTGTTGCTGAGATGCTTCTCGGCTGCGTCGACATCGCCGCCTGCGCCTGCTGTTGGTGGCGGCGATGTTGTGTTCTCGCTTGTCGTCACAGCAGAATCGCCCCCAGTGCTCATGCGTCCAAACGCAGCAACGAGGTCCTCGCCAGCCTGCTGCTCACGCTGCTGCTGCTGGTGGTCGTGCTGTTGGTCGTGCTCTTGCTCTTGCTGCTGCTGCTGCTGCTGCTGCTGTGCTTTCTTCTCTGCCTCCTCCTCCGCGCGGCGTCGCTCCTCCTCTGCGAGGCGCGCAAGCTTCTGCTCAAACTCCTGTGCACCCACAGCAGACAGTGCACAGAAAGAAGGAAAACAAGAAAGCAAAAAGAGAAGAGAAGAAGAAGGAAAAAATAAAACAAGCAGAGGATTTGTTTGTGTGGGGGCGAAGGAAGGATGCGTGCAACATCATAGCATGTGAGTATATGATACATGCCCTGCCTTATTTCGTTACAGGGATGATGTACTCGCTTGGGAGTGCAAAGCGCTTGCCAAATGCTGGACGAAGCATGAAATGCGAGCCACAGTCAAGTGCGCAACAGCGACACACCTCGCGCTGCTTTGCCAGCCGCTTCGTTGCTTCTTGCCTCTCCCGCTCCAGCCGCTCTTCGAGCTCGGATATCTTGTCGTTGGCCTTGTCGCGCGTCTGCACAGACAACAGAGACAACACAATGACCACAACATGTAGAGTGGGCATGAGAACGAGGACACCACTGCCGTCACATGAGAAAGACAGTGGCACATGTGCCATGACGCAACAAATCCACGGATACAACTCCTTACGCAACAACACATTGAGTGGCGCGTGGTTGCATCACCTCTTGGTAGGCAGCCATCTGCTCGGCAGACGGAGCGTTCTGCTTGACGCGCAGCTCAGCCTGGGCCGCCTCCCATTCGGAGAGCGCCTGGCAGTGGTCGCGATGTTGTTGCACCCGACAGCATATGGAAGGTGAGACGTTGGCGCACCGGCAAATGTATCTGTTGGGTGCGTCCAAGCACACGAATATGTGCACTCACGCTCGCGCGCTTCGCTGACACGCATTTACTCACGCACGCTAATGCCCATCCACACTCACACGCTCAAACACACACGCTCACACTTGCAAACATTCGCACATTGCTCACACAAGCATGCACTCACGCACTCACCTGCTGTGATGCGGCAGGTGCTGCTGTCTGCTGCTGGGAGTCTGGGGACGTCGGTGCCGCGGCCAGTGGGCGTGTCGACAGGCCGGCCTCGCGCCTGGCCTTGGCTTCCTGAGGGTTCACGAAGCGAAACACGTGGTGGTGCCCAAGAATCACGCGCGAACTCGTCACCACGTGCGTCTTCTCCGTCACGCGCTCGCCTGTACGGGAGAGCGGGTCGTGGGCGCATGTCAACGAGCATGAGAGGGTTCGCAAAAGTGTGCGTGTGTGTGTATGTGTGTGTGTGTGTGTGTGCGTGTATGTGGGTGTGGGTGGGCTGAGTGGTGTGTGCTCCCTAATTGGAGCGCGCCACAGCCCCGAGCGCCACAGCCCCGAGCGCCCCACCCTCATTTTGAAGCACGTGCAATTCCCATGTGTTGCGATAGTGTGCACGCACCGTTGACGAAGCAAGCTGCTGTCTCCGAACATGGCGTGATGAACACTTTGCCATCCTCATTCTCAAATACACAGTGGCTCGCCTGTCAGCATGCGCGCCCACACAAGATCAATCAAAAACACACACGATGGCGTCAGTATGATGGATGTGCACACGCGCACGTACGACAGGGTTTGTGTGTTGTGTGTGTGTGTGTGTGCGTGTGTGTGTGTGTGTGTGTATGTGTGTGTGTCGCGGGCGCCAACTTGTGCATCAACCACGTCAGCCAGTTCTGCATCCAAAGAGCAAGTTCATGCACAAGTGTGTGTGTATGTGCGCGTGTGCTTGTGTTCACGTCACCTCGATGCCTTCGCCACTGAGTTGGATGTGCTGCTTCTCCGGCGCATCGGGCCGGCCCGCCCTGGACGCAGCGAACAATTCAGGCAACGTGGCAGTGGTGGTGGGTGATGGGTGGTGGTCGTGCGAGTGTGCGTACATGTGTGTGTGTGAGGTCAAAGGTGGATGAGAGTTTGCCACAACAACCGAGCACGTGCACTGTTCTTTGTGACCATACACACACTCACACACACACACACGCACATAAGCACACACACACACACACGCACATAAGCACACACGCGCACACACGCACATGTACATTCATGCACATGCGCACACTGACCGCGTGACGCCTGCAGAGATGTAGTAGAGGAGGAGCTCCGACATGAGCGGGTCGTCGCTGAGGTTGAGGAGGTGGGGCCCCTTCTGTGGGGAGAACACGCCAACAGCACCGCCGTCGTCCTTCAACGCAATGCCCATCTCTCGCAGCGCTTCCTCCCGCTCTTGCTTGATCAGCTCCGTCCTGTCCCACGTTAGGATGGCGTGTGCACACACGATGCATCGTGCAAAGGTGAGCAGGTGCTGGCGTGTGATTGAATGAAATGCACGGCACACTCGCCTGTCGCTGGTGTGATCTCGTCACGAAAACTAATAAGGACAACAACAACAACAACAACAACAACAACAACAACAACAACAACAACAACAACAACAACAACAACAACAACAACAACAACAACAACAACAACTTAAACAACAACAACAACAACTTAAACAACAACAACAACAACAACAACAACAACAACTTAAACAACAACAACAACAACAACAACAACAACAACAACAACAACAACAACAACAACAACAACAACTGAAACAACAACTTAAACAACAACTTAAACAACTTCAACAACAACAACAACCACTTAAACAACAACTTAAACAACAACAACAACAACAACTTAAACAACAACAACAACACCGCCACCACCACCACGCTACGCACTTTGACTTCTTTTCCTCCCAGGTCTCGTTGAGCTCCTGCATGATCTTCTCTGACTCGCGAATGTCCTCCGCCGCCTTCTTCTTCTCCACGTCGTCAGCACCGCTCTGTCACACACGAAGGGAAGGGGGCATGTTGAGCATTGAGTGCATGGACGCGCGCGGCTGTGCGTCCCTACGACGAGCTGGTGTGACTTCGGTTTCGACGAACGCATACACGCACGCACACACACATACGCACGCACACACACATACGCACGCACATACATACACGCGCACGCTACACCTCACCTACACACCAAACACAACCAAGCACGCACACAAGGCAACCCAAAGGCACCCGAGAGCAACGCACGTGGAGCATGCTCTGGAGGCGCGCGACTTCTTCCCGCAGCTCGCGAATCATCTTTGCGTTGGGATCCTCGTTCACAATCGCCTTGCACACAATCTGCTTGGCGCGGTCCGCATAGCGCAGCGTCGACAGCGTCTCGTCGTAGTTGATGTCCGCCGGGCTGATGGCTGTGTGTGTGTGCATGTTTGCGTGTTGACACGTGCAATGCGTGCGTTGGTGCGTGTAGTTTACGAGAGAAGACAAGAGCACATGTGAGCTGCAGCCAAGCAGCACAGACACGGCAGCGAGCGCACCTGCAACCATGGCTGTTCGGGAGTTGCCGCCGAGGTTCTCGCGAAGAAGCCACGTGAGCGCCGAGTCGCGGTATGGGATATACTGCTCCTTGTTCTTCTTCTTCTTGTGCTTCTTGTGTGGGTCTGTGTTGTTCGTGCATGTGCCATTCCGCAGAGTCACGCGTGTTGAGGCTGACAGCATCAATGTGTGCCGAGGGCACGTCGAGGTTGCAGTCACACACACACACACACAACAAACGAAAACCACATACAGTTACATGTGCATGTGCGAGGAATGGCGCGTGTGCACAAGTGTGCACATGTATTCAACACATTCACACATTCACACATTCACGCATTCACGCGCACCTGAGAGTTCTGCGAGTGCGGAAATGACTTTGCCGAGTGTGGTGAGAGACCGGTTGATGTTCGCCCCTTCCTTCAGTCGCTTGCCTGCAAAAAACAACCGTCCCGAAGTGAACGTCGCGTCACGTTGGTCAGCCAGCCGCACACAGAGGCGCAGGAGCACGCGCTTGCCCACACACAGACACACGCACGCATGCACAAAGCGCTCATGCGTACACACGTACACAGGCACACATGCATTCACATGCACACACATGCACTCACATGCACTCACTCACATGCACTCGCTCACATGCATACACACAGCGCTCACACCATCACACAAACGCATGCATACACACTGCACATGCGCACCTGTGGCGCCGGTTGAGACGGCGCGTTCAGAGCCGGCAAGATCAACAAGGCTTATCTTGCTCTGCTTTTCGGAGACGAGATCAGAACCCGGGACCTTTCGCATCACCAGCGCATGCCATAGGAGTATACAAGCAGCACGGAAGTTGGCGGAAGTAAGGCCTGATACTTTGTGTGCTGTGTAAACAGGACCAGCAGTGGAGAACCTAGCACATGCACAATCAAGCACACACATGCGCACACGCAGGCATACACACGCACCCTCGCGCTCACGCACGAGCACAAGCACAAGCACATGCGCTGCACACACCTTTTGTCGTTGGGTGAAGATGATGGAAAAGACGGCGTGGGAGCGAGAAGAGGTGGCGTTCATGTTGGTAGAAGCGACGGTTCGCGCCTTGTTGCCTTCATCCATGAGGTTGTGGATGTCGGCGTAGCTGGCCACGACGAGCTTGGTCAAATCCTCGACGTAAGGGCCGAGCACAGGGTGCTCGCGAACCTTGAGGTTGCCCGTGCTGCGCGGGTTGAGCAGGTCGCGCACCTTCTCGTTGTAAATCTCCAGGTAGCTCACTTCGCACGAGAAGTCGAGGGTGTCGTCGTCGTTGCCCTCGATGCGCTGGAACAGCTCCTGGCACAGGCGTGGGATGACACCCTGCTGGTCCGCCTCAGGCGCACCCATCATCGTGTACGACTTGCCCGCACCCGTTTGCCCGTATGCGAAGATGCAGATGTTGTAGCCCTCGAAGGCGTGCTCCAGCATCTCCTGGCCCAGGTCCTTGTACACCTGGAGCTGGTTGGCAAAGTTCTCCGAACCCGGGTCCGAGGAGTCATGCGAGAAGTCAAAGGTGAAGGTGTTTGGCTTTGCGTTTGTTGGGTTGGTGATGCGTGTGGACGCCTCCTGCATTTCAATAATCTTCGTCGCGTTGCGTGCAACCTCCCGCTTGTTGAACGGGCGCACCCGCACCGCCACTTTCACCGACGCCATCCCCGGTGTTGCAGTGCTGCAGTGCTGCTGGTGCTGAGGTGTTGGTTGATGCTGCTGGCTCGCTTGCTCGGGTGTGGTGGTGGTGGCAGCAGCAGACACAAACAACAAAAGTGCGTGTGGAGAGGAGAGCGGCTGTGCGACACCACTAAATTTTGTCACACTTCACGCCGCGCACTTTTCGAATTGTGTGTGTGTGTGTGTGTGTGTGTGTGTGTGTGTGTGTGTGTGTGTGTGTGTGTGTGTGTGTGTGTGTGTGTGTGTGTGTGTGTGTGTGTGTGTGTGTGTGTGTGTGTGTGTTGCGGGGGGGGGGGGTCTATGGGTCTATCAGTCTATCTGTGAGTCCATCTCTGTATCTGCGAGTCCATCTCTCTATCTGTCTCCATCTGCATAGGCATACGAGAGAGTGTCAGCGGTCAACATCTCAACCTCAGCGGTCTGCCTTTCTGCTCTCTCTACTCTTGCTCTTGTTTGTTTGTCGGTCCCCCCGGCTGTTGTCTTTACAGCTTTACGGTGTCGTGAAAAGCGGAGACCGGGCCATGCTGGGAACGGAAGAGTCGCGCACAAACACAAACAACCAGGTCACCAGCCAGGCAACAAAACCTTGGAAGGAAAACAATGAACGGAAGCAAAATAAGGAAAAAGAAAGCGGCCTGCTAATCATGTCAGTTGGGTCGTGTCATTGTTGATTCACACCAATGTACCCTGCAGGCAACATGTAAAGGTGGGCAAACACGCTGTATTGTCGGAGAGAGCTGTAACGCAACGGAACAAATGAAGAAGAAGAGTGCAGGAAAACAGCAAAGAAAAGACATGAATGAAAGTGATCAACGTTGGCGTTGGAAACAGGGCGCTGCTATGTTAAGAGAAAAGTGGGTCCCGGTAGAGTCTTCGTTATAAAAGGGGGGCAACAACACGGACACGGAGGAAGAAGCGGTGCCTGCAGGCACGCGCAAAGGGCCGTCGTACAAAAAAAAAAACACAGACAAACAGGCAGACAGATAGGCAGACAGAGACAGACAAGCAGACAGACAAGCAGACACAGACACAGACACAGACACAGACACAGACACACACAGACACACACAGAGAGCACGGGCGTATCAGACGCGGGCGCGGAGGCGCAGGTCCGACGTTGTGAACCAGAGAACAACGCCGCCACCGGTGTTGATGGACGCACAGGCGCGGATGGGGAGCGGGAACGTGTCGAAGTTGTTGCCCACGTTCTGGCGACAGCAGCCGTTGTTGCCAGAGGTGCAGTCACTCACAGCGTAAGGGCCGCTGCCCACGTGCTCCTGAATGCCCACCCAGTGGCCGGCCCTGTCGTTCGAATACGAGCCGCCATCATCATCGCACGAACCCGTGTACATCTGCACACGACGCGCACACACATGTACGCACATGCACACACAAAACCGTGAGTGCGAGCGCGAAACAGTGGGGGGACATTCAGAAAGCTGCGAACACTCGAAGCCAAGCAGTAAGAACAACAACATAAGCAATGCAACCAATACGTTCGCAAAACCACCTCAACCACCAGTCGTAATCGTACGTCAAAGTTTCTGTCGGCAGGATCCTTTGCATTGCTGGTCAGGGCGAGCACTTGGGCTGAGCTCAGCGTCGCGCCGGCACTCGTGTACGTAATGTCAAAGTAAAACTCGCACGCGTACCGGTAATTCTGATCTGATTTCACCACGCCGTCCCTCCAGCTCCCACGTGGGTTCTGCACGGAGATCGAGAAGAGCGTGACGAACAGGACATTTGTGGCAGGCGCAGCCCAGGTGCAGATGGCGAAACATGAGCGGGCTGATGGTGTGCGTGCAAACAGCCAGCCACGCAAACAAGCAACTGCGCAGGCAGGCTAGCAAGGAGCGTGGCAGCAAAGAGCTGACTAGCGAGGTACGCAACCACGAATCAGAGAAGCACGCAAGCACACAGGCGTGTGGCGACGCATTCCTCATGACTTGTCCATGAACCTCACCTCAAGGATGCTCTCCAGGGAGCCGGAACAGCAGCCACCACAGCCGCACTTGCTCCATTCGTTGGTCGTCGAGTACGAGAACATCCACGCATTGTCTGCAAACTCGCTCCCCGACACCTTGAGCTTCACCCAGCCCTGGTCGCAGTCCACCTGTGGCGAACCGCAAAGTGAAGTGGCACATGAATGCCAAGCAGACAATATGTGAGGGCTCGTTTGCCGATCGAAAACGAGAGAGTAAAAGGACAAGGCGACGAGACACACTGGGTGCTAATAAGCCCGTTTTGTTTGCACAGCAAGAGAGGAAGAGAGGAGGAGAGGAAGAGAGGAAAACCCATAACAACGACAACGGTGAGTCGGGACAAGACAATAATGTCTTTGGGGCAGAAGGTGGGCGTTGCACATCGTTTGCGCAGGACCTTGAAAGGCGTTTGGAGCCCAGCAGTGATCCAGCGAACGCCGTCGGCGCGATCCGGATAACTGGGTTTTGCAACAGCAGATGAGATGAATGCGTACAGACAAAGAGACAAGCAGCATCGCTGGGATCAGCATCTCGCTCACG